CTGTTCTGTTCATTCCCTCTGGGGCACCTGGCACTGACCACTGTCTGAAGACAGGATACTGGGCTAGGTGGACCTTTGGACTGACCCAGTAGGGCCATTCTTATGTTCTTATAACAGGCTGGTATTGATTTCCTGAAACATCCCACCCTGCTATCAGGTACTGGTCCTGCTGAGATTAAGTGGGTTTTGCAGACTCATTGAGGCAAGTTACTAAAGAAAGGATATAGGGCATTGAGACAAGCAGTGCTGAGGGAAGAACTAAAGGAAGCAACCAAGGCTGGGGAGAAGGTTTGGGTTATTCTTTGTTCTCTTTTTTAATAAAATCAAATCCCAGGAAGGGGAAGAGTTTGGACTTTCTTAAACTGTTCTACAAACACAGTGCACATGTAAAGGCATGTGCTGACAAGGCCCCTATTTCAGTACATTTCTCCACCCTTCCTATTCTCCTCCCGCTCTTCCCACTCCTCAACTTTCCCTCTCTTTCCCAGGCCCCAGTTATACCCTTTGTCACCTCTACCACCTCTACATTTGACCCCTTTTCTCTTTGCCCAACCAATTCCTGGGTCAGCTCCTTCTCCTCAGATAAATTTCTGTTAGCAACTTCTGTCCTCATTCATCACTAATGGGTAATGCTTGAATCTGTGGAATTTGGAGATGCTCCAATATTGTAGAATTCAGGACTACGCCCTGGCTTTCAGCTCAGGCCACCAGAAGTTTTTAAAAAGTTTTAGAAACACTCCAGCAAGTGATTATTAGCATTAAGACAATACCTTGATATAAAATATTAATTTACCTTAATGACATTTATATGCCTAAGTCCCCCCTTAGAGAAAAAAATCCATTAGTTACAGATTGTATTCCAGTCATTTATCAAACTACCAGGGTGAGTTGAATAAGGAGAGACGCTGCTAACCAAAAGAAAATTATTAAGTAAGATATTTCTCATTCTGCTGCACAGCTTCTCTGCTCATTCATCACTAATGGGAAATGGCGAGGAATGAATCACAGCAGTAATGTGGAAAGGTTAAGCAGAGTTTTAATTATTATTGGAGTAGAATAACAGACAGAAGTAGAATTCTCCCCATATAAACTAACAGTTTTGGGATTTAATAAATTATGTATCATAAATTAATAGCACCTTCCTATCAGTGGATGCCTCAGTGAAGGAATGGAAACCTACTTTGCAAACATTTCCTCAGATAAGGCTCATATACATTTTTCCCCCACAGTACCACTAGGGACCTAGTATATGGAGACTTGACTCCTTTTTTGTAAATAGTTACCCAGATGCCTAGCGTGCCAAGTAGTGCAGAATTTTAACATTTTGCCTATAGTAACTTTGAGACCTTAAAGCCCTGGAATTATGGATAGAAAGAGATTGGCATGTGGGGTCAGGCACCCAGCTTCCCTGTGAAAGGCTCCACTAAGGAGAATGAGCCAACCCAGATCCACCTGGTTGTTTGGTTAATTGGATAAGTAGCAGGGGGTGGGATGCTTAATTAGTTAAGGAAGTGTTATGAGGGCTCAGGCTGGAGCCCAGAACATAGAAAGGAAGCTTTTGGGGAGAAAGCCCCTCAAGGGAAAGTGGGTAGGAAGCCACTCCCAGTAGTGTCTCCCTGAAGAGCAGAAGCTCTCAGAACAGAGAGAGTCAGGTTTCTGGAAGTAGAGGAATAGCCTTTTCCTCCTAAGAGTAGTGTAGATTCTTTATGAATAGGGGAACTAATTCCAAACCCCATCTTCGGATGTAATGGCAACAATAAAGTCCATCCCAGGCTTCTCTCATCTATCATTCTGATTAATCTTGACACCTGAGGACACTCAGATGTGGTGTCTGATGTGCCTACCTAAAGTATGCTACTAGGGCTGTTTGTTTCTCATTGTTTTATGGTACTCAGTTGTAGGACTCCAATCAACCATCCTGGAGAAACTGTAGTGTAGCTGAGATCGCCAAAGCTTTGTGGTCAGGTTATTATTATTATTATTATTATTATTTTTAACAGAGTAGCATTTAGAGGTCAGAGTTCCATTGTGCTGGGCACTTTACAAAGAGATAAATCCCTACCCCAGACAGCTTTCTGTTTCCCCTCATATCAGAAACTTAATTTGACCAGATCAATGAATGAAATTTTCTGGTTGAGTTCTGTCTGGATACTTAAAAGTATCAATAAGGCTAATGGAGAATCCCTGCTGAAGCACACTTCTCTTCCAATGTCTGAGGTGTTAACTGTAGGTGTTCCAGGTCCAGATGATGATGTCCATGCTTCAAAAAGATTTGGTCTTTTCTAGAGGTGCAACAGAAGTTCCTTGGCTATCAAGTCCCAAGTGCCTTCTGGGCCAGTGGAGGACTAGAAAGGAGACTTTAAATCTCATTTATCCTTTTTTCTGTATCCTTTCTGTGAACTGTCTTAAAAGGGAGCAGATTCTTCTCTGGCCAGGACATTATTTTCATTGTCACAGAGAAGCTTTGACCTTTTGTTTTGGAGGAGATATAAACACTCATGCTTCAGTCATAAGCCAATCTCTCATTGGGTGGTAGGAGGAAACTTCCCCTGTGAGCACCATAATTGCCTAATATGTGGTTCCCTGCACCTTCTTCTGGAGCAGCTCGTACTGTCATAGACTGGATACTGGATTCAATGGACCATTGATCCAATCCCATTTGGCTATGTTGATGATTGTGTTCAGATACGCCACTGATAGAGCTGACAAAGTTAACTAAAATCAGATTTTGGAAATCTATCTTCCAGGTATGCTCCCCACCCTGCAAGGCTTGCTTCCATAATGAGTATGCAGTGACAATTGGGTTGGTTTTCAGCATGTTGTTTGTACTTATCTCACCACAAAAGTAAATTTGGACGTTATCCAGGAACAACATCTAATTTTGCATTGCCTCAGGTGATTATTTCCATGTCCTCACAAGTAAGTTCTGGAGGTACATTTTAAGAAATCTCACTCAGGATGAAAAGGATTCCAGGCATCAGCAATCCTAACCACTGGAGATAACTGGCTGTGGATTGGCAACTGCCAGGAAATGGCTGATGCAATGAAGTTTTGGATCTTTGCATATTTTTACCAGGGTGTTAAAATTATGGCCAGAGCCATGCCTCCTTTGATCTCTGGGTGAGCAATTCTCCATATTGAGTTTGGCATGTTGTCCATGAATGGGTATAGATGCATGACTTTCAACCTGAGCCTTGCTGTGACTCTACCAGCTGTTTCATAAGATTCTGGGTGTAAAGGATAGATCAGAAGGAAGAGTCTTGCATAGAAATTGTAAGCCCTCAAACAGAAATGCTCATTTTCTCTTTGTCACGCTGAGAATTTTGTTGATCTGTAAAAAAAATTTATCTAGGTTTCCGTGGAAGCTACTGCTCCAAATTTTTTCCTTTGCTAAGGCATCAATCCTTTCTTGAATGCCCTCAGTAATGGTAGTGGCCAGCAGACTGCTATGCTGGCTTTAATAGTAAGGGTTGAGATCTCTCTATTTCAGCTACTGATTTCTCTAATGTTTCCCCAAACAGCTCCTCACCTGTACATTTGGATGCACAAAATATCTGTTTGGGATGACTGATTGCTTTTCATAGGTGTAGCAGGGCTTCCTAGTCACCACTTTAGAAGCCATAGCTCATCACAAATCACATCAAGGATTTTACTGGGACAAAAGCCCAGGGATGGAGCATGCTCAGTCACTCTCTGGACTTGGCAAATGCACAGTCTGGTCTGTCAGTATTGGAGTAGAGACGTCCAGAGCTGTTGGCTTCTTGAGGAGGAGAAGGAGAGTGTGGAGGTAGAGTAGTGTGGTGCACGAGCTATTTTTTTTACAGTGAGCAGTACGGGAGCCAGAAGTTTTCATGCTCAGAGTGAATGGCTACTTGTGAGAGGGAGTGAGACTGGGAGAGTCTTTATGCTGGTCTAGACTAAGAATATAAATTGTGTTTAAAAACATTTTTAGTGTAGACAGGGTTTAACACCTTTAAAAATGTATTGGCTCCTGTAGGGTTGACCACAAACAGCTAAAAGGTTTTTAAATACTATCTATTTTGCTAGACAGGGCTTGAGTGAATGAAAGAGGGGAAGTAAATGAGAGTCAAAAAGAAGAGTGTGAATGAGGTCAGCTGGACTGAATTTAGGTCAGAGAGTGGGAAACAACATATGAGAATAAGGAATAAAAAGGAAGTATATGAATGTAGGTGGTGACGAGCTGCAACCATATGTATTAAACATGTACCCAGTAATCTTCTTATTGTACACATACAAAAGAAAGAGAGAGAAGGAACTTGGTGCAATTCCTCCAGGAACTTTCCCTGGAGGGGCTGGGCTCTGTTACTACCACAGGTTTGTATATAAATTTACACAACCTGGCCCTTAAAATTCTCTTAACGCAGAAGGGGTTTTGTATGACTACTCAAATTTGACAATGTTGTCCCTAAATCTATCCTCTGAGTATTTACTCTTCCCATATCTATTAATTCCTTATCTTTTTTAGAGTGTCCACATACTGGTTTTTTCATCTTGATACTGCTAACTAGACTGAAAAGTGCAACACACAGCTAAAAAGGGGACAATGGCTACAATACAGAATATTTTCATTTTGATTATATACCTCACGTGAATCCACTGCGGCATACATAATGTCCATCCAACCTTTAAAAGTTGCCTAGAAAAAATAACAAGTACATGATTATGAAAAATATATTACACTTATTCTCATTAAAGTAAAAAGTCAAGTGTTTTAAAATTAAATCATGGTTCAAGTGAGTTTAAATGAGCAGAAAGAATTCTACAATGCTAAGGTGAAACGTTATTCACATACAAAGAGTTCAGGTTGGAAGTATGTTTCAGTGGAGTTCGCGAACACCTAAAATCAATATTATCTGTAACAAAAAATGCTGCACATTTAAAAAACCCCAAACATTAGAATATCTGGAAATAAACAATTATGGAAGCCCATAAAACAAGCTTTCAACCTTAAATCTTTTAAAACTAAGTTATTTATTTGCAAATTTCCCATTTTCTGAATGAGCACTAAAAATGTAAGGCAGGTTAGTGTATAAAAGAGGGGAGAACAGCTCCGACAGAGATAATGAGGCCAACAGATCAAAGAATGGCGCTCCTCTCCTGAAGACTATAGCAACTCTGGAAGCACTCTGGAAGGGTTGTGGGGGCAGGAGTGAGTTACACCTGGGTGAGATATAGGGGTAGTGAACACTGAAGGGCATAGAGGGAGAGAATACTTAAAATGGTTTCAATTTTAGATCTAAGGATTTTCTAAAAATTTAAAGGGATAAGAATCTCTTTTACTAGTTACTAATACCACTAATGTCTTTTATTGGAATATTGGATAATAATGGCACACTGGGAGGATGGATAATCTTGTGACTAAGGCTTCGGCTAGGGACTCAAGAAACTTGGATTCAGTTCTCAGCTCTGACATTGACTTCTTTTGTGACCCTGGGCAGGACACTAAATCTTTATGCTTCGGTTCCTCATCTGTACAATGATGATGATGATTGCCAACATCACCAGGGTACTGGGAGGATAAATTCATTCATGTCTGTGAAGTGTTCAGATGCTACAGTAGTCAGAACCATATTAATACAACTAGGTAGAATACATAGACTATGCTACATTTTTTCTGATCTGTGACTAAATTTAACATTAGAATACAGAAAATAAAAGTGGTTTCAGACCCACTAAAATACAAACTGTCTCAGGTTTAGCACTCCTGTTAGAGGATTAAAACACATTTGATAAAATATGTCCCTGGGAATGCCTACACTCAACACAAAACATGCAGTTACAATGCAGGTCTTTAAAATGGTTTGAGTGGCTCAAATATACATCATTTTCACAGTTAAACATTCTGACTTTAGGTTATGAGGATAAATAAAAGTGCAACTATGACTGGGACGTCTGCCCAACACATCTCCCTGCAAAAGAAAGTGTTTGTAATAGAACTTACCACCTGTAGAAGAGCCAAGTACCCCATTCCAACATGATCAAAGGTGACTTTAGCATTCTCCCATTTTAAGTGACTATGGATTTCACAGTCATTTCTGCTTTTAATTTGATCAATCAAATCATTTGATATGTTAGAGCATTTCCAAAACCTTCCACGAAATTCTTTCACTCCTATGATGTTAAATGGGAGCCAGACAACAAGGCAGACAAGCATGACGTTCATGATGGAAGGGATAGCTCCTACTAGGGCATACACAACTATCTGAAATAAATTAAATGAATGGAGAGGAAAAGAAATGTAGTTATAAGCAGTCACCAAAACAAGTTCTCAAAAAAAGTTTTTTTGCATCTATCAACTTCTCACTCATTCATAAATTAGGTCCTTATAGTGGCTGGCGTCTTTAAAGCCAATTTGGATCTGTTAAATGTTCCTTTAAAAATAATTTATATATATAATTTAAATAGGACTCATTTTTTTAATTCTATTTTGTTTTAGAAAAGAAGAATCAACTACATTTTCTGTAAAGAAAGTTTGACTGTGATCAGCATGAAAGACATAAACACTCCAAAGGCACATAGTGTGCAGGGGACTGGACTAGATGA